AATTAGTACACTGTGACCCATGTTCACTGAGTCAGTTCTGCTTTGGGACTAAACTGCCCTGATAACAGGAATCACTGAAGTCCGGCTGAAAGAAAGAAAAGATTCCTGGACCTTAAAAACTCAGACCCGCCAAGGGATAGACCTGGTAATATGTATATTTAACAAGCTCTCCAAGGCGATGCTTACTGCCCGGCAAGCGCAGAGGGGGGAAGACTGTTCTGAAGAAAGCCTAGCCCATTTCCACAGGAGGTGCGCCAACACGGCTCGCCACAGCGTGATTTATAATCGTGAAAAACACTGGAAACCATCTACACGTCCATCAACAGGAGCCTGGAATACGAATTGTGGGACAGCCATACATTGAAAGGCTCCCACGTAACTCCAGCCTCTTTCCTGGCCAACTCTGCAACGCTCATTTCCAGAGGCTGGCCGGGCCTCTAAGTAAATAGGTCCTATGTGCGATTTTCCCCGCCGGTGCCATGCTGCGTGAATACAGTTGAGGGGGACTGGAAGGAGCTTGGTGCTGGGGGTTCTTGTGGCTTTCCACTGGCTGATTCTTTCCATCGGGAGGTGGAAGGGGGGATCACACTCGCCAGCTCCGCGGTGGTGGCGGGCTGCCTAGCACGGGAAGGCAGAGGGCACCCCACACCCTGGTGTGAGAGATGCCCCTGGAAAGAAGTGTTCTGTGGTCCAGCCTGGGTTAGGAGATGCGGGCTTACCCCACCCTCCTCTGCCAGTCACCATGCCTGTCTCCTGACTTGGGGCCCCCGGGGGAGACCCGCCTGACAGTTGGGACACTTGGGGAGACGTGCTGGGGAAGTCAGCGCATTAGCCTAAAGCGATCCAGCTTGGCCCAGATGACTTGCCCACGGCTCCTTTTCCACGTGATCCCCTTTCCTAGAAATCCCTCTGGCCCTTACTGGGGCCTCAGAGCAGCCAGACATGGGTGGGACCAAAAATAAGTGATGCAAAGAACTCTTTTTTCCAAAGGCCAAAACCTAAGTGTGTGAGCCAGGAGTGGGTGGCCCTGGCGGCCAGGCTGCCCAGGCGGCGGGGGTGGCGGGGGTGCTGGGGCGGCGGGCAGGGGCCCAGCTCTCTAGGCGCTGCTCAGACCTGCACATTCAGACACAGCAGAGTGTGAGCTGCCCGTGACCAGCGGCCGTGTCTGGGTCCCCCGGGGCCTGTGCCCGCTCAGCACCCAGACACAGTTCACAAGTGGGACACACGAATGTCCTTCCTGACCACGTTCCCTCCTCACCACACCAGGTGGGGGTTTGACACTGTCGTGCCAACTCCTCAGCCCCCCGGGACCCCAGGCCATGCCTTCGGCTCGCCCGTTGGGAGAGGGCCTGGCAGGATGTGGGTGAGGCCCTTGGTCCCCTGCAGCCCCATGTGGAGATGTGCCCCAGGAACCAGGGCAGAGGTCGACAGGGAGGGGCCTGTGGAGGGTTCCTGGGGGTGGCCATCTAGGGGGCCTGGAAGAGCACTGCCCCTGGACACAAGGCCGTGGGAGGTAGAGTGGCTTGGTGTGCCTGTCAATCGGCTCCTGCCCGGAGGCCAGGGGCCGGGGGCCAGGCAAGGGCCACTGGAGTAAAGACTCCAGGCCCCTCAGCTGCCCCCACACAGGCACCCGGGACAGGCTCCGTCCAGCAGCAGCACCAGGGCGGAGACAAGTGGCCTGATCCACTGACTCCTGGGGCACTGTCACTTCCCCAGCTGGACAGGTGCTGGGGGGCCCGGGGACTGTGACGGCATGGCCTCATCTCCGGAGCTCATGCCTGGGTGGGAGGTGAGGAGACACACACGAACGGGTGATCACAGGAGCTGGAGCAGCTACTCACAGCCTGAGGGCGCCACGAGGGAGGAGGTGCTGGCGGCTGGGAAGACGGACAGGAGGGTGAGTACACGTGTGTGGGTAAGAGTGCATGTGTGGGCATGTGTGCAGGTGTGTGCGGGGGCATGTGTGTGCATGTGTGGGCATGTGTGGGCATGTGTGCAGGTGTGTGCGGGGGGGCATGTGTGTGCATGTGTGTGGAGGCATGTGGGCATGTGTGCAGGTGCATGCATGTGAATGTGTATGGGCATGTGTGTAAGTGTGTATGGAGGTGTGTAGGCATGTGTGCATTGCAGGGTGTGTACCTGTGTGTGTGTGTGTAGGCATGTGTGTGCATGTGTACAGAGGTGTGTGGGCACATATGCATGTGGGGATGTATACATGTGTGTGGGTACGTGTCCAGGTGTATGTGTGGGGGGACATGTGTATGCACATGTGGGTGTGTGCCTGTGTGTGCCTGTATGTGGGGCACCTGTGTGCATGTGTGTGGAGGCATGTGGGCATGTGTGCAGGTGCATGCATGTGAACGTGTATGGGCATGTGTGTATGTGTGTATGGAGGTGTGTGGGTATGTGTGCATTGCAGGNTGTATGTGTGGGGGGACATGTGTATGCACATGTGGGTGTGTGCCTGTGTGTGCCTGTATGTGGGGCACCTGTGTGCATGTGTGTGGAGGCATGTGGGCATGTGTGCAGGTGCATGCATGTGAACGTGTATGGGCATGTGTGTATGTGTGTATGGAGGCGTGCGGGTATGTGTGCATTGCAGGGTGTGTACCTGTGTGTGGGTGTGTGCATGTGTGTGCCTGTGTGTGGGGGCATGGGTGCCTGTGTGCACATGTGTGTTTGTGGGCATGTGTGTACGCATGTATGAGGCGGAGCAGAGCCCATCCCAGCCTCACCATGAGGGAGGCGACCCAGCCCCAGGTTTCACGGTGGGCAAGGCAGGGCCAGGCAGGGTTCGAAGGCCACCTGGCATCGCCTGAAGAGGGAAGGGCACAGTCCTGCCTCAAGGCCTTGGGCTCCCTGGGGCCCTGGAAACTGGAGGCGGGCCTCTGGAGAGTGTCAAGAGTGACAGTTTATGAACCTAATTAAGTTTCTTTTTTTGGATCAATAAAATTTCCGGTGGGCTCATTCCAGGGCACGCCTTGCTCTGGAGACAAGGTTAGCTGGAGGACGAGGCCATGTGTGTTGGCTGTGTGGGAGCACCCCCTCCCAGGCACAGGAGGCTGGGGGTGCTGGGGCCAGCCGTCTCTGGCTGACTAGAGCCTGGTGACCCACCCTGGCCTTGGGCCTCGAGGTGCCCACTCCCACCCTGGGAGCCAGGGCAGCCAGCCCTACTTGGGTTCATCTCCTGGTCAACCACACCGGACAGGCTGGCACCTCTCTGGGCCTTGTCCCCCTGCTGTAAGTGATAGTGGGGGGTGATAATGCTACCAACTTCCTGGGAGCAATAAAGAGTCAGCATCAGGCCTACCAACAGTAAGCACGCAAGGGGCACCGTTATTCTTTTCCATTTCCCAGTCGTGACAACGCAAAGAACAGCACCTGCGCTGTCTCCTTTAGAGGCTGCTGGGCGGGCAGACACGCACCTGAGGGCTCAGGATGACAAGCAGTCACCTGGATGCTGGCAGATGGACTTGGCCTGGCATTCAGCAGCTCACCTGGGGCACAAGCCAGACGGGGCACGGGTGGGAGGCAGGGCCTGGGGGATCGTCGGCTGTGCAAGGAGGGTGTGCAGCAGGGCTCCCCCGGACAGCACAGACACTAACCAAGGTGCATCATCTAGGACAGGCCTTGCACTGGCGCCCCACCCTGGAGAGGCTCTCCCCGGTCCTCCAGCCCTGCTCACTTGGGGAGGAAGAAGGTTTGCGTGTGCGTGCAGGGGGGCCTGGGAGACCCCTGTGCCCACGTTCCTGGCAGGCCTGGGGGCAGGCTGTGGAGAGGGTCAGCCCACCACCTTGGCCTAAGCATCCCCTGGATGCCTCACACTTCAAACTAGCACTTTACATCCTGCTGGGTTCTTAACGGTTTTTTTTTCTTTAAACATATTTCTGGGAAAGCTGTATTTTTACTTTTTACTTTTGTCCTGTGAGGTTTGTTTTTCTAAAATATGTGTGCACTCTATTAGGCGATAAAATCTCCGCATGAAGTCATCCTCAGCAGCTCATAATCAAAACCCCGGGTGTCCGGAGAACAAAGCGATTGAGAAAACCAGGACTGAGCCCCTGCGGACAAGTGCAGTGACGGGCAGCTGACGTTTCCCTTTGGCTCAGACCTCTGCTTTACGAGCCGCTGACGGCTGAGCGCTGCAGCGGACACCCAAAGGCTGTGAGCCTGTCCGCGGGCCGGAAGGTCGCCTGGAGTCCTGGTTCCGCCCAGGGCCCTGCCATCCAGACGGGTCACAGCTCCTGTTCACACGCCCACAGCATCAACAGGATGGAACACTTACTCCTTCTGGGAGAACTGTACTCCCTCATCCACGCACATGATGGTTTTGGAGACCAGAGTGTGGACAAAGAAGCCCGGTCCCTGTCCCTGCCCACCATGCCCCCCGCCACACACACACACACCCCCCGAGCAGGTGACATGCTGGCAGCGGGTCTAGGGGAAGCTGGTGCAGGGAGAAGAGTGGACAAAGCGGACCAGGGACACAGGGGAAAGATGGACGCGAGAGCTGGCACCTTCTTCATCATTTTTCCCACAGAGGCCAACGCCTTAACCTTGGCCTCCCAGCCTCCGGAAGTACGAGAAGACACGTGTCTGTTGTGTAAGCGCCCTGGTCTCTGTGGCCCGAACAGACTAACACGTGTCATCTGAGCAGGGGAAGGGAAGGGCCCACGTGTTATGTCCCCGGGAGAACGGGGACCATTTTGTAGCATGTCACTCACTTTGTTTTTTAACAGGCCTCCCAGGTGGCCCAGTGGTAGAGTCCGCCTGCCAATGCAGGAGACGCAGGAGACACGGATTTGATCCCTTGATCTGGAAGATCCCCTGAAGAAGGAAATGGCAACCCACTGCAGTGTTCTTGCCTGGAGAATCCCATGGACAGAGGAGCCTGGCGGGCTACAGTCCATGGGGGTCACAAAGAGTCAGACACGACTGAGCAGCTGAGGACACATATATTGAGATACAATTCACATACCATATCATTCACTTATTGAAAGTACAGAAATCAGTGGGTTTTGGGGTACTGCATAACTGATTTTTCTAAATCGCAGTAAAACATATAGAACACAGAACTTGCTACTGTAACCATTTTTAATGGCACAATCCAGTGGCATTCACGACATTCACAGAGCGGTGCAACCGCGATCACTATCAAGCCCCAGCAGGTTTAAAATCAGAAACAGAAAACACCCCAAACAGGGACTCTGTCCCCAGTAAGCAGTAACTCAGCCCCTGGCAACCATTATTTGACTTCCTGTCTCTATGAATTTGCCTCTTCCGGATATTTCACACAAGTGGAAACATACAATAAGTCGTCCTTTTGTGTCCGCTTATTTCACTGAGCGTACTCTTCAGGGTCCATCTACGTTGTAACATGTGTCAGGAACGCATTCCTTTCTGCAGCTGAATAATATTCCATCATAAAGAAAAGACCACATTTCACGTCTCCATTCACCGGCTGGGGGACATCTGGGTTGTTTCCGCCTTTCTGCTACTGTGAAGAACAGCGCTGTGAACATTTGTGCATGGGGTCTGTTCGTCTTTGCTTTCGGCTCCCTCCTCACTGTGGTACGTCTGAGTTTCCCCACGTTTACGGGGAAGGGCACCCAGGGCTGTGATCCCATTCTCAGATGTCTCACTGCAGGTAATGACTGCCCTGATGACTTGGCTAAGGTGAGTCTTCCGGGGTCCACTGTAAAGTCCCTGTTTTTCCTTCTATAACTGTTAAATATTGAGAGAGGGGTAGTTTAAGGCTATGTAAATATTCTGTTCTTGCTTAAACTTCCAAAGGGCTTTCTGTTTGGAACCTGCCAGGCTGGAGATGTCTACTGATGCGCAAGGGCAGAGGTCACAAGGTTACTGATGCCAGAGCTCGGGAGGGTCGGCTGTAGGCCGGGGTTAAAGAAGCATCCCCGGCGGGGTTTGTGGCCACAGGCCTGGGCTGGTCACCTGCAGGGAGACCGGAGGAGAGTGGGTGGCTTCGGTCAGGCCACCTGCAGCCTGCAGCATCTTTAGACCAGGAAAGAGAGCAGGCTAAGAAGGAGCCCTGGTAATGACTGAGTGCTGAGGGCTGAGAGGAGAGCGTGGCCTCGGCCGGCTAAACCTGGGAATCCGTCCTTCGTTTTCTGAGACAACAGGCTGGCGGGGTCGCCCTCTGCATCTCTGCCCACACCCTCCTCTTGGCTTGCCTCCCATCCCCGCCTCACCCCGGTTCCTACACATCCTCCCTCTCACCCTTCAACCCAGAACTTTCATGGCAAGACTGTTCAAAGCAGTGAAAACGTAGAAACAGCAGTGTCCACGACTCTGGGGATTATCAGGCATATAACAGCACGACTGTGTCATACTTGCCTGGCAGCTGCAAAAGAGGAGGTGGCTCCACACACACGGCAGACACACAGGGCATATTAAGGGGAAAACAAGATGAACTTTATACTTAGGGTGTAATCCCATTAAAGGTAAAAAACGTATGTGTTTATATACACATAAAAGAGTCCCAGGGGACCTACATCCGACTGCAACAGGGACAATTATTTCCCGGAGCACAACGATGAGGCAGCATCCAGTGGACGTGTTTCCATGTTATTGGAACAGAGTATTTCCTTAACAGTGGGTGTCTATTACTGGATATGCTTGACCACCACCTCTCTGTGGACTTTCTGCAGAGGCGTCCGAAGGGGTCTCACTGCTTCTGCCCTCCCCTCCCCCATCATCTCTCAACCCAGCAGCCAGAGGGACCCCTTGCAAGCCTGAGGTCAGCCCTGGTCCTCTGTGCACACCCCGAAACGGGCCACCAGGCAGAATAAAGGCAGAAGCCCTGACCCCTCTGACCCTCTCTACTGCTGCACCCCTGGCGCCCGGCACCCGGCTTGTGGTCCACGGCCCCTCTGGTCTTCTCCCGTAGAATATGACCTGCCTGGTCACCTGCTCCATCGCCCACCCGCCCTGCTAGCACGTGAGCCCTCGTGGCAAAGACGTGGTCTCTCCAGCGTTCTGATGGCTCCAGAACGCCCACCCCATGAGAATGGGTTCAAAGAGTGAACTCAACAGAAAAACCATGAAAACACTTGCATTTATTATAAGTTCTTCGATCTCCCTGATGAGCTGGACTGTATTATCATCAACACCGCGACGGCCCCTCTACCTTCCAAGGGTCTTCCTCCCCGGCACGTGGGGACATTTGGGGGATGTTTGCACCAAGGATCTAAATGTTCATGTTTACCGTGTTATTTATTTTCTTGAATGAAAGTGAATGCACTTAATCTCTTCCTGACATATGCTTACTCAGTCTTTAAAAGTGGCTGCTTATTCCTCAAACTGACATGGGGTCAATCATTTGACCCAGAAATTTCATAACCTATAACCTACCCCAGGGTGAGGTAGGTTATATCCAAGACAACGGAAAATACATGTCTACCAAAAACTTGCACATGGAATTTCATAGCAGCAACTATTCACAATAGCTGAAAAGTAGAAACAACCCCAGTGTCCATTATTTGACGAATGGATAAATAACAGATGGTATATTCACGTGATGAAATGGTATTCGGTGGTGAGAAGGACTTCAGTTCTCAGACATGTTACATATGTGCTCCAGCCATGTTCACAGGCTGCCATGAGCTCCACGTCCCCGCGTGCTCCGGAAACCCTGACTCTCACCTGGCAGGTGTGTCCCCCTCACCTGCCGATGATCATGAAGAGAGTCAGACGCGGGGCTCCCGGGGCCAAGCACATGCCCAGCAGAAATAGGTCTCACGGGCGCACAGGACACATAGCGATGTGCCAGCGCCCCATTCCCATTCCTAACAGCCCCCAGGGCCCACATCACTGTCATGGAAAAAGACAGCAGAAACTGTCCGGCAGTGAGTATGTGATCCAGCCCACACACTGTTACAGGAGGATCTCACAAAGTCAGTGCCGAGCAGAAGCCAAGACACAAGGGAGCACGCACTGCATGGCTCCAGCTCATAANATGGACATGAGTTTGAGTAAACTCCAGGAGTTGGTGATGGACAGGGAGGCCTGGCGTGCTGCAGTCCATGGGGTCACAAAGAGTCGGACATGAATGAGTGACTGAACTCAACACAACATATACAGCTACAGAAACCACGTGTTACAGTCGATCACAGGGAGCAGCTGTGTGTGTGCGCACATGTGTGTACACAAGTGTGTGCTGGTGTGTATGAGTATGCACACATTTAGTGCATGTGTGTGTGTGTCCTGGTGTGCATGTGTGGCTATGTAGTGCCTGAGTGCATGCATGTGTGTGCATGGTTATCTATGCATGCACGTGCATGGGCGTGCACACAGACATATAACCCAGGAGAAGGACGCTCCTTCAACCACAGGAGGTTACAGTCCACAGCTGGTAAGGCAAGTGGTCATCGGAGGCTGATCCGGGATATTAACCAACAGTACCAACCTAGGTCAGCCAGCATGCTGCTTCGTGGTCATCTGGGGATACTAAAGGAGGAGCCCATAAAGGACCTTCTATGAGGAGCAGTAATACTAGTTACTACATTCCAAAGCAGTGTGAGGAGCCAGGCAGTACTAGTGTTTTCCATTCTATTACTTATGGCCACTCACGAGCGCAGAGACCAAGGCTGAGGGGACAGCAGGTGGGCTGGGATCTGAGCCCACTGGTGCCTCTGGGCACCCACAAGCTGGGCTCACTCCCTGCTGCGTGTGCGCGCTCTCCTTTAAGGAACATTTATCACGTCCTGCTCTGCCCAGGCCTCGGGACACAGAGCTGACCCAGCCCACTGTGGGGACAGACCCAAGAACATTTAGCCCCAGCAGAGGCTGTGACAAAGGGCTGGGTGTCCAGAGGGTGAAGGTGCAGGGTCCACACCCTCTGGGACTCTGAGACCAGGGCTGGAGCTCCAGCTCTGAGCTTCCGGGGGTCCCAGGGAACTCCCCTTTGCCCTCCTCCTCCCCTATCAGGAGTTTGTCTGCTGGATAAGCGAGTATAGCCTGGGAGCCCTCACTCTAAGAACTGGAGTAGGGCTGGTAGCAGTGGCTGAGGTTGGCGCTGCTCCAGGGCAAAGTGAGGCTGCCTGGGGAATCCACTGGAAATGGCTGGGGAGCCGAGATGAACAAACTGTCCCCAGACACCACTGCTGACCCTCAGACCCTCGGAATTCATGGCTGAGGTGAACAGCTCAGCTGCCAACCCAACCCCCACCCCAAAAGCCTCACGGTGACCTGGCCGTGATTCTGCTGGGATCGCATGAACTCTGCACAGAGGACCCCACAAGATAGAGGTGGGCTGGTTAACTGGCTCCAGGTGCCGGGGTTAAGGGATAAATCCTGTTCGTATTGTTGCCGATTGTCAACACGTCCACCCTGGTTGCTTCAAGCTACCGACACGACACAGCTGATTGTGGCTGAGAAGGTCGTGCATGACTGACTCACGCAAGCTGGGTCCCGAGGGCCCAGCACTTCAAAGGCTTAAGCTATAGTTAACACTCGGCACCTGCACCAAAGCGCTTAGTGTCCATGTGGGGAAAACTGGAGGGACGCGGCCCCGAAGCAGTGGCCGGTACCCGAGTCTCTCAGCTTACTGCCCCTCCCCAGGGGACAAGCAGCAGAGTGTCCTCGGGGGGGCAAGGACAGCCCTTCCGAGAGTGGTATCCCTGAGGACCCAGTGATGCTAACCAGACTCTGGGTACCAGGAAGGCACCCAGGCATGCGGAGGGGATATGATACGCCGAGTGTCCCAGGTCCAGGATCAGGCCCCTAAGAGACACTGGAGAAGGTGCCACCCTCACCCCTCCAGGCCAGGCGGGCTGGGGAAGCACCTGTCTGGGGGCCTCCCCTGCTGAGCGTGGCATGGCGACTGCCCATAACAAACAGGGCACGCCAGCCAAGCCTGGCTCTGCAGACAGCCCAGGGGCGTAGCAGGCCACACGGAGCCCAGCACCTAGAGGCCCTCTGAGGACAGCAGGGGTTCTCACCCCCTGATGCCTTTGCTTGGTCAGGTTTCTGAAGGCGCCAAGTCCAATTTTCTCCACCACGCACAAACGCAGAGGGGCAGCAGTGGTCTTCCAAACCTGCGGGACCCGGTGTAACCCGATCCCTGGGCTGACGCAGGGAGCTGGCGGCCACGGTCTCCACTGTTTGCCAACCTCTTCAGCTGCTGCCCGGTGACCTTGAGCAAGGCCAGATGCCCCCAGGCCTGCGGCCGCACGCTGAGACAGTGGGAGCTTCCTCCCTGCCTGACAGAGCCAGACATGCGGAGAACGGACACCGGAAAAGACCTTGAAGTCCCTGGATGAAGACGGCCACCAGGAAGCAAGGCAAGGGGCCGCCTCACTCTGGGTCAGACCTCGGAGCACTGCGCCCCTCACAAAGCTGCTCCTAAGGACAGCGGGTCAGAAGGAGACTCAGTGGGTGGCTCTCGAATTTTACCCTTTCTAGAAAGAGGTGCAAAACCTGGAAACCCAGCTCAACGGGTCCTGCTCCCCCCAGATGAAACCATCACCCCATATCTAAAGGCACGTCAGCAAAGACCCACGAGTGACTTCTCGGGGACAGTAACCTGCACTGTGAGCCAGCGGCATCTGTGTTCTTCACCGACTTCAGTAAAGGATGCGGCAGCGACTAGACCTTACTTCCTGCCCGAGATCCAAGGACAAACCAACAAAACCCTCTGCCTCAACCAAAAATTATTCCCAAGGGAGGAAAAATGCCCTCTTCCCTCACACTTGCCGCTCAGTGCTACGGGATGCTGCTGGAAGGGCCGGCTTGTCCAGGAGAGCCTCGAGCAGCTCAGGGGGGTCCCGCCTGTCACCTAGGGCACGGTCTGTGCACATCTAAGCAAAAAGTGAAAAAGTGAAGTCGCTCAGTGGTGTCCGGCTCTGCGACCCCAGGGACTGGGGGTTCCCCCAGGTTCCCCCATCCATGGGATTTTCCAGGCAAGAGTACTGGAGTGCGCTGCCATTTCCTGC